ATTCTTTAAATGGTAGGCAATTAGATATTACTTACATTTCTATTATAATCTTTACTCAAGTAAAAATAAAAATATTTGTTTTCAAACTGCCCCAAGGTACAACGCCTTTCCCTAATTTTAGTTTAAAATAATGGGAGATACATTATTCATGAACTGCATTATATACCTCACATTATTACATATATATCAGTAATCATTTTGGATCTGCATTTTTATAATTAACCTGTAACGACAAATCACTCCATGGTGCTGGCGTGGGAACATTATTGTGGGGGGCTTGTATGGATGCATGGTTATGGAACTACGGGAAACATATCCATAATGTTTTTTCACTGACAATGCTGGTTATTAACATACCCAATTATTAGGGTAATAATCACTAAATTAGTAATTTTCAAAGTAATTAACTTATTTGTAAATTTTTTATCGATATTTTAGGCTTTAAGTTGTTAGGATATTTTTAAAGAGTGAAATCTCGGATATATTAATGCTTTAATAAGTATTATGCCTTTTTTTTTAAAATTTAAAATGCTGATCGCCGAAAGAATTTATTATTTTTTAATGGAAATCGTAAAATGTGTCCTTTTTATGCTTTATTACACTATGACATATCTTCCAATAGGTACTTAAAAGTGATTTGCCATGTTATGTACTTCATAACATAAATCCGAATTACAAAACATTAAAAAAAATTTATTTGCTAAAATCGTATTTTTAACAAAGTAATTAATCCTTGAAACAAATGTTTACATATTCAGAATATAATGTAGTTTTTAATCATAAATTGACATTGATGTGGCCTACAATTATTTAAAATTATTATTTGTTATGAATTCAACAAAGTACTATTTAGGTTATAATTAGTTCCATTTTTATTATACTTGTTTTTTATAAATAATTAGTTATATGACCTGTCCCCTTTATTCCCAATTATGGGGTTAGTATGGGCAAAAACTTAAAAAAGCTTATTAGAAAAGTATACTTTCAAATCTGCGTATTTTTCATTCAAAATTATGATAAAGTTAAAATTTCAATAAAAAAATACAAGGTGCTTAGTAAATTTCTTTGGTAAATGAATAAAAATTGTCGATGCTAGTTATTGCTAGTTCCCGTTGACTTTATGATAATAAAAATAAAGGAATTTAATTTTTTTTCTCTGATGAGTCAATAATTCTTGCCTAAACTGAAGAAAAACTCAATGAATCTTAAAAAATATGTAAAAAAAGGGGAAAAGAACTACTTTGAGAAAAGTTTGAATAATCAATCATGTATTGAAATATTCCCTTTTCTAAAATCTAATTTAATTTTGTTTCGCTCAGTTAACAAAATGGGCAAAAGTTATTCCAGTTTTGCAATAGTTATTAGTCAAATAAGGAGGGAACTTTGTTCCAACCTTTTTTTTCAAGTTTTGATTATTAAACGTTAAAAATAAATTCTTTTAATACATTGTTTTTATTCAGAGTTTTATAATAAATTAACAGGGCTAATAAATACTAATCTAGGTAATTATTTATTTATATGCTGGTATTACACATAAACACTGTATATGTACTTAAATAAAAAAAATTCTTGACGAATTTAAATTCTTTTAAAAATTAATGGCCGATCATATTTTATATCAATAATTGCTAACATGCTTGTGTTAAGCACCAACACCATATTCTAGAATTATCCTTTTTTGTCAAATATTAATTTTAATTTTGTGAAATAGGCAAAATAATCTACAAAATACACTTATTCCTGAAGTGCTTTCCTTTAAGTTAATTTATCCTTTAAGTACTTTCAATGTTCTTGTGACTCGAAATTTCAAACAACTAGTATCTAGCTATTGTTTAGACAATGAAAAATACAAAACGTTTGATGGAAAAGAATTTTTTTTTAAATTTATTATTATTAATACAATATGTTCTCATTTAGATTTTCAGTTGTAACCTGGTTGTGTTTTTGATTTGAATTTTATGTCAGTTTATTACATGAAAAATAAATTGATTAAAATTTATTGCAGTTATTCCTTAAACTTTGATATAAGCCTTAGTAAATATTTATTTTGATAAAGCATATTTATCCTTCAGAAGCATTTACACAATTATTTAATATTTTTGCTTTACGAATAAATTAACTTTGATTCGCAACTAATATTATTTAGAAGTTTGTGTAAAAACATCTATTTTGAAATACATGTTTAAAAAGGGTGAAAACTTGAGATCGAATTTTTCGTAACATACTAAGATTTTTGTTCTAGTAGAATTTTGATTGTTTTATGCAATATTTGTGTCGAAACTTTAGGATATAATAAAATAAAATAAACAATTTTAATGTAATTTTATTTATTTTTACGAGAAAAGGTAATAAAAAATTTCCTTCAAGCAAATAATACTATAAAAATTAAAATAAAAAATTCTCAAACCGTTTTGAAACTACGTGTTAATTTGTATTAATACTGAATACTTGATTATATTTACAATGAAAATTTTATTGTTTAATTAATTTTAAGCTTTTTAAATTTATTTACGCTGACATGTGTTCATTATTCAGCGTTCATTAGTATCTTTTTTTAACATGATAATTAATTCCCCTCGCTATACGCATCACCAGTCCATTTCTAAATTAAAATAAAGATGAATGTGGAATTAAAACTGTGAACTAATTATGCGAACTAATTATTCTTATCATGAATTTGCGTTTCTTTTATGAAGAAAATAACTCAATTGATATCGCTTCTTTGGCCTATTTGCTTCTCTAAAATCAAAATTTAGAAAATTGTTATTGCTTGTTACGTAAACAATTCTTCAGCATTTTGTCGTGAAAAAAAGATTTTTTTTTCTTCAATAAGTAATTCTATGTTTGCGTGCAAAACGTGATCGGATAATATTCTACAGGAATAAATCTATTTTGGAGAGATAGTCTTAGGAACATTTCCTTAAAAGCTATTTTTTTCTTTCTTTCTGAAATATAAATGAAAATTTGATTTACTCTTTATTTTTATGAGTCGTTTTTTAAAGCATTTTATCGCTTTTCTTATCTTTTCATTTTTACCAATGATTGTTATCCCCTAATATTCAAAATAATTGTTTGATCAATAATTTTTTACATAATGTAAAGTGTTGAAAAACATGATTATTTTTTTTCAAACATAAATTATTTCTCAATTGTTCAGTGAATTGTTCTTTTCATCAAAATATTTCTTAGCATTAAGAAAAACACACCGTAAACAAGCTACTTCAAAATTGATTATTAGGTGAGCAGGTCTAGGAGCTTTCTAAACCTTCTTGATGAGTATTACTATGTTTTTGTTTTAATTTTTTCAATATTATTTAGTTATCTTTTTTTTATCTAACTCCCTGAGAAGAAAAAGAATATCTTGGCTGCTAAAAAATATTGCTAAATTATGAAATCAATCCCAAGACAGTAGGACTATTAATTTAGAAGTTTAGTTTGATATACAAATATATTTCTGTTTTGTACTCATACTTACTTATTTACTTGTCTGACATTTCTAATGAGTTCAATTCATTGCAAAGAGTAATTTCCTTATTTCTTATGTGTTCAATTCATTGCAACAAATGTATAGATCGGATAAATTTTTTTTTGTTTGGATAGCAATATTTAAATCTAAACGACAGTATAATCTGCTCCCAGTATAACCTTTGAAAATGGTACATTGAGAAAAAAAAAGTATGATAAAACCTACCAGAATAGGTTTAAAAATTTACCGTGTTTCTGGCCCTATGGTAACACCAAAACACACGATAATTATTACAAATGCGCTTTAGTATTGATTTTAGTAAAATTAGTAATAAAATACTGTTTTGTAGTGTGTGTTGAAATTTGAACAATGTGGCAAATTTGTCATAATATCTTAGAGCAGGGTACGAAAATTATTTATTCGGTTAAATTTACTTCTCAATATCATTTGGAAAAAAAAGTATTTTTTGTTAACTGTTACGATTCAAATAGTTTAAATTCGATGTATTTTGGTTCTATTACCAAAATTATGGTTATATGTCTTTACCACGCGGTTGGGTTATATTACCAGAACTTCATGATTTGAGTGCGTTTTGGGGGGTACAACATTCTTTATTTAGAAGATTTTATGTTACGTATTGAAATGGATATAATTTTCACACTTTGGAAATTGAATATTTTTCTTATATCCTTTTTCTACGTATCTATCTAATGAGTTTATCATTAGGGAATATTTAATTGATATGCACTGTAAAAAATTCCGTATCAAATTACGTTAAAAAATACTCGCATCCTGAGTGCAGCACCCATAAAATCCATTTTTACCGTAAAAATTTTGTAACGTATTACAGTAATATTATTTAACTGCACGGATTCTGTAATTTCATTGCAAATTTTATTGTAAATATTATTGTAAAAAATGCGGTATATCAGATTTTCAGCTCCGTTCGATCTTACGGTAAAATTACAGGCGTCAAGAGTGCCAATATTTTTTTTATCGTAGTTTGATCCGAAATTTTTTACCATTGATATGTTTTATATTTAATTCATTTGTGAATAGAAAACGCTTGTTGTTTAAAATACTTTATTCCGTAAAAAAATTACTAACTAACCAAGAGCGTCTTGACATTTAATTACAGTAAAATGTATTGGCACTCAGGATGCCGATACTTTTAACCGTAAAATCCATTTTTACCGGAACATGTTACGAAGCCAAAATTCTGAAATGCCGTGATTTTTACAGTAATAATTACCATAAAATCCCTGAATCACTCTAATTAAATAAACCATCATTTTAAAAATTACGGTATATTATATTTCACTGTAAAAATGGATTTTACGGTAAAATGGATTTTATAGATGATGCACCCAAAAAGCCGGTATTTTATGCCGTAATTCAGTCTGGAATTATCACAGTGTAACATAAACTGATTTATGATGAAAGTTAATATTTTCTAAATAGATTTGAATTACAACTAACATTAAAAAACAACAACTTCAGATTTAGTTGCACGCAAATTATTCCCACGTGATACCTTCCGCTGGTAATATGAGTTTAATATTTTGTAATAAATTAACTATGTTACCCGGTATATCCATAGGACCATAACGTCTGAATATCATATTCTTTCTATATTAATTCGATAGCCAGCGGGTCAACCACCTGACTAAAGAAAACACCACCGCATGAACAGTCAGAAACGCTCCACGGCTTTTTCAGAAGTTTAATAACTGGAATCTTTAAGATATGGTAGTTTTAAGCTCACACCTTGCAAAGTATGTAAGCTCACACCTTGCAAAGTATGTTTGGCGAGGAATCAAATAAAGATCATCCAATATCTCTGTACTTGGTATACCAACCGTGGAATTTTTATTATTTCGTTTTATTGTTTATTACGGGATTCGACCCGCAAGAGTTCCTCATTGATGGAACTGAGTATTGTCTCTGTTTCCCTGTTCACAAAATGAATGATGATTTCATCGAATATGCGATCAGAGTGTAAATGTGGAATCATAAAGAATATACAATTAATTTTTTTTTCTTTGATAAGAGTTGATTTATGCAATGGAATCGCTGACCCGATCTCTTCTTGGTAATGTAAAAGATCTAAGGAACCCCGAAAAAAAAAGATACATAATATCTTTGTTTGTTTTCTTCCGGATGGAACTGGACGGATTATATATATATATATATATATATATATATATATTTTACG